ACTGTTCCTCCTCTATATCAACGACCTACCTGAAAGGACATTGTCAGATGCTCGCCTTTTTGCAGACGACTGTCTCCTATGCAGATCAATTACAAACAAGGCTGATGCAGATACCTTTCAGAAGGATCTGGATTCTCTGACTAGATGGGAGGAGGACTGGCAAATGGCATTCCACCCAGAAAAATGCGTAGTTATACAAATTACCAACAAGCGGAATCCCATCACTGCTAACTACACTATACACAGGCACCTCCTAGACGTGGTTGATTCCAGCAAATACCTTGGAGTCACCATCAGTAAAGATCTACGATGGGACAACCACATCAATAACATTGCATCCAAAGCCAACAAGACACTGGGGTTTATCAGGCGGAATATGAGGGGATGCCGGACATCTGCAAGATCTGCAGCATACCAGGGACTAGTTCGACCAATCCTTGAATATGCTTGCGCAGCATGGGATCCCTGGAACTCCAAGCAAATCCATCAGCTTGAGAAAGTGCAAAGAAGAGCAGCACGATTCGCCACCAAGAACTATCATGATCGCCATCCTGGCAGTGTTACCCAGATGATTCAAGATCTCCACTGGGAACCACTACAGATAAGAAGAATGAAAATCAGGCTTGTGTTGTTTTATAAAATCAAACATGCATTAGTGGCAATTCCTGCAGATCTGTACCTAACATCCAGTGACAGCAGGACCAGAGGCAACCACACTTTCCGTCTACCACACACTCGGATAGATGCACATCGTTACTCCTTCTTTCCGAGAACAATACTAGACTGGAACCACTTACCATCTGAAGTTGCCTCAGCACCAACGTTAGAGTCCTTCAAGTCACAGCTGGACTCATACACGAGGTGCCAGCTGTCTACCAACATCTCGCCAGTCGTTTTTACCTTTTTATTGTACATAGTGCCCCGATTGGGTTTTTAGCCTTGTCCGACGCGTGGCAGTACCCGAGTATAACGCTCTACTTAGAGTTTGTCTCGTATGGAAGAAGAAGAAGAAGATGTGATAAAAATTCAAAATCCATATTCTTGGCGTTATCGTGAAATTAGCGTTACGTCAGACTGGGCCGTGCGGCTTTCATATACAAAGTATTAACAAAGTATTAACACCTATTAAGTCTACATATATGTCTACTTCTCTTTACAGTTGATTTTATAGTATAGAGTAGACCTATATATACTTATCATTTCATCATCTACATGACCTACAAACTTCCATGGAGAGAGCCTATGGTAAAAATGGTATTCCATGTGGGAACACTTATCAAAATTATATAAGTGCAAAAACTAGTGTAAAATTAAGATAGTTTGTTATCAACAGCTGATCAATTGAGCAATTTAGCGGCCGGGGCAGTGTAGCACATGATCCTGTTCTATTGGGGTAGACAGGGAAAAAATCTTTTAAAATCTTCTGAAGAACAGCAGGGAAATAGATGCTTAAGTGTATGAAGAACCAAATTAACATACACTTAAATAATTGAAGATATCTTAATTATTTGGAGATACTTCATTATTGCGCACAATTATTACGTGCATCAAATCAATTATTGCTCTTCTCAATTGCATTGATCAGTTCATGTGCGCATCAAGTGAATTAATTCAGAATTGAAGATGTCATTAGTTATTCAAAGAGATCTTTAATTGGATTGTTGCACAAATTAAGTGAATTGACGATTAGTTCATATTTGCGCTGCTTATTGCGGCCAATGGCATATTTTCTAAATTGCGTCACTGCAAGTTTTAGCGGCATTGTTTACCACACACTTCCGGTGTTGGAATCGATTTCCAATAAAATGAATAGTCTGTATCATCCAGACGTTTGCATTTACCTCTACAAACGTCTGGACGCTTTCTATGAAAAAAAAAAAATTCCGCAAGGTGGCGTGAATTCCAAAATGGCGACGCCCATGAAAACAAGTGTGTACTTCATCGTGCCTGATAAAAGTGTTTGTGTTGCCTGTACTAAAGATTCCAAACAATGCAAAGAACACATTTGAGAAAAAAGTGTAATAAAATGTTGTTTTGGCTGCAAGAGACTGATTGAAAGAATCCAAGACATGGTGTCGAAATCGGAGGAATTAAGCTTCTCTGTGGTGAAGGCTTCTCAAAAGTTTCAGTCTATGCACGTTTCAAAGAGAACGAGAGTAGATACACCTGGCATTTCGGAAAAACGTTGTCGGATAAGAACACCACAGCTGAAATCACCATATAGTATGAAATCGTTTAGCGGTAAGTATCTTAAAAATGGCATCATATATTATAGATATAAAAAAAAAAATTGGAACAATAACATCTGTGAACATGTGTTAAACTGAGTTAAAATGGCAGAGGCACCATAATGCTCATGTTATCAGGTCCGGCACAATATCTTGATTAAGCTATATAGCTTCATTTAGCTATATAGCTTTATTAAGCTATTCCGAATAGCTTGGTTTAGCTATTTTATTACACTTTTTTCTCAAATGTGTTAATTTTTCAGCATATATACAAAAAGTTGCACTTTGGTTCAGTGATAATATTCAACTTTGATTGTCTTTGAACTCTTCTGAATCCAATGCATGTAAAAATCACTCACCAAATTACATCACCTTGAGAGACTTAGTACTCAAAGTTCTAAAAGTTTTGGGGCTATTGATTAGTGACGATACTGTTATTTCTTGATTGAAATTATAAAAAGGTCAGTTATTGACAACAAGATAACTGATTGGTAATAATTCAGCACAATGAGAAGCAATCATACTTATCCATGCCTCAACACACACACGGAAGTGAACAGTTACTCAAACAATGGAAAATCATCTTTTGCTTGAATTTATTCAAAAGCTGCAATGTTAGAACTATCTTTGATTTGGAATGCTTTTAGATAGTCCATAGTATATATATGAGTAATGAAATACATGTACTTGCGACTTTTTGTGTATTTCTTACCAAAAAAAATTGTGAAAAACTGCATATAAACTGCGTTATCAAGCTATTTTGAATAGCTTAATAAAACTATATAGCTATTTCAAGCTATATAGCTTAAAGCTGAACACAACTCATAAAGAGGTATACACCAATTATTATACTACTAGTTATGATACGGGGATATACCGTTCCCTTTATTGTCATGGGTATCAGTGAGGAATGGTGACACATGTTACATTACCTTTGTTTACATTTTATTGTGGTTACGAGTATTTGTGTTTGTTTGTATACTGCACTGACCTGTGCAACTTTTGTAGGTTTCTTTGATATTCATACTCTCCTGCATTAGAAGAAGTACACAGTTATATTTTGTCGCCAACAAGTGCTGTATAGCATACGTCCATCCATGCCGGTGACGATTGATTACACTGAACAGTGATCAAGTCAGCGGCTTTATATAGGGGCCCTCAGATATAGGGAGCGGTCAAATATGGTAGACAAATTTCTTTTACGAATCATGTTCAGCTTTAATGAAGAGATTGTGCTGGACCATAGTTATATTGCAGACTTGTTCAACATAGATATATGTTCTCACAATTGTATTTACTCTTATGGAGTGTTCATATAGACACTTTAGGGGAATTTTCTTTGCAGTGTCTACTGTCTAGGAGTAATCTGTACATTCTTTTTACATTTTCTTTACCTGTAATCTTTTTTATCTTTTCTTCACCTATAAAATTTGTAGGTGCTTCCTCCAGTAAAAGTAAGCGAGGAGTAGATTTCAGTGGTTGTCAGTCTAAAGTAAAAGAGATTCTTGTAAAAGACACTGCTGTGCAGTGTGAACTTGGTGGTGTACTTCGTGTGTCACAGAAGAAAGAAATGCACCAATATTGCAGTATTAGCCGTAAGAAAAATCTCCAACCTGCTGTCAGATGCCTGACATCTGGCAGTATCAGAAAGGGTGTGCGTCTTCTGCTGTCAAATGCTGATTCTACAGTGAAAGAAAAAGTAGTTGCAGGTAGACTTCATAATGACTTTATATGATTTCTTGCATTTATAGCTATAAATCAGGACATTTTGAATTATAAGAAAGCTTCATGATCAAAGTCAAACATCAAAAGTGAAGTTGAACTTTGTACTGTTATGGACTATATTTCTCAAACACATTTGTTTCTTTGCATTCTGAAATTCAATAATAACACAAACAAAATGTTTTCATATTAATATTCCAAGGTAAAATTTTGTTATCTTTTTTTCAAATAATAGGTGTAACAGATGTAATACGTCAAGAATGCGGGATGTTACTTCTGCAGAAAGATGTATTCCGAAAATCGAAAGATTCATTTGAATTCAGTATGAATCAAACAACAGACTCTATTAGGATGATGCCAATTACTTGGTGTGTTCTTAACACTGTAGGTGAAAATAAGAATAAAATTAGTGACACCACAAAAGTTACGACTGCTGCATGTTTGCTGTTAAATTCCAGATCAAAATTCATGAGTAAGCTGCAGCATAATGTTGCTGTAACTCTTTATAACAATCATCTTCAAAAGGAAGGTTTTGATATTCTGCATAAATTGGGAATAACTGTTGGACATTCAACCCTACAACGAACTCTAAGCAATGCAGCTGTTTCATCAGATGAAACAATGCACAGTCTTAAATCCCGGGTAGAGCAAAATAAACTTATGCATGTTGAATTGAGAGTGAATAATGATAAAAAAAAGGATCACAACTATGCAGCAGATGATAGGGCTGTAATTGATGCTAACTTTGAGCCAGGATATAGATTTAACTTAGACAATTTAGATTTCTATTTACATGTCAGAGACATGACTGAAACACACCAGAATATGAGTAAACACTATGTTCAAATCATGGCTGTGAAAGACCGAGTAAATTGCGAGCATCTTCCTGATGAAAATCCTGTGGGTGACCTGAATCAGGTGGAAAACCAACAACTCATGCCATCAGCTGAAGACAATAATGACTTAAGAGAGGATATGATCCACATCTTATCACTGACTCTAATCCAGCATCTACAGGCATTCAGTATTTTTAAAGATGTGTATCCAGATTATTTTCAACACCCTTATTCAGACATCATGGATAAGAAGTCAGTTGTGGTATGTTGACATTAAGTATAATAATATGTATTCATGTATTTTATTCATTTCTATGTTGATGAAGTGTATGTTATTGCAATTCAAGGCCATTCTTAGATTATTGTATGTTTAGTATCCATGGAATTCAAAAAAAAAATTCCATATCTGGGACAAAGTGGTACAAATTTTTTGTACATTGAGATCACTTTTGGTTTCTTTTACATTTCCAGGGTTTTTAGGTACATTTGAATTGCAATACATGATTTTAATTTCTATACTTGAACATGATTACTTTAAATATCTACTGTGAAGTTAGTACAAAAGTACATTTATTTTACTAATGCATAGGAATAGTGTTAAAAATAAATGTTAATCTTATCATTTCTATGGAATAGTAAATGCTAAGGGTTAGATATTTCAAAAGTCATTACCTTGCAAAAAGCACATGAAGTGTGAAATTCTTTGTCATGTGATAAACTACATTATCAGCTTTATTAATTTTTGTAATTTATCACTTTGTCCAAATCAAAAATTTAAATTTAAAATCTGATTTCCTGTGTACTATGTCTTGATGAAATTATTATTATTTAATAATGTTATTTAAATATCTTTTTAAGAACTTGATATCTGTCTGCTGACTTGGCAAATAGGAAAAATTACAGAACATATCACCAGTACTTTAATTCAAATACTACAATCCTTATTTTGTAGAAAGACTAATACTAAAGTAAAATGTCACAGCATGTTCAAGTATAAATGTTTTACTGTTACCAGTTTCACAACTTCTAACATATGTATAAGGAATGCTATTCTATTGAAGTTTTAGTAACAGATGATATTATAGACTTCTATCCCATTCTCAACTGAAGCAGAGATCTAAAAAAGCTTTTCTGTGTAAAGTTTGTCCAGTTGTCTGTCTGTCCTTGATGAAACTTTTCACAATTTTGAATTCTTCAAAAGTAAGCCACATCCAACTAGTATCAGCACAGTGTCAAATGAATGCGAAAGCCTTTCTAGTGTGATTAGATTCAAATATGATCAGGTTTTTAAGCACATATGGTGCAAAATATAGCCTTTCTGTACAGAAATGAAATTCATTTTTGACCAAAAGAATAACTTATTTCTCTTAACTTAAATTAGATGAGATTGTGGCCTATGGGACTTGTTTTTTTTTTTTTTTTTTTTTTTTTTTTTCTGTAAAGCCATATGAAATAGTCATATATAGATTATTTCTTATCTAAGCTTAATTTGAATTCTTTCATCTTAATGTGTTTTATAAGGTTTATTTATGAAGAATTTATATATAATTTTTTTTTTTTCATTTCATCTTACATATGGCTTTACAGGGAATGTGCATGGATATTTTACAATTTAAATTTGTTTCAGATGATTTTGTTCTTGTTGATTTGAAGTTAATTGGAATTGGAATTTCATCGACCACAAAAGTTAAGGACATAAAGAAGAAACTAAGGTTAGATTGTAGAAAGGTTTAACATTTGTAAGAAAAATTGCAGACAATTTAGAATTATGGTATCTTCTTTTTGAACTTGGTATGCTCTTCATTCATTTTTTTGTTGGCAATTTTTTGTTTATTATGGACAGGAAATTCAAATTATTTGTGTTGGCATATGATGAAAGATAATGTTAACTTTATGAAAAACACAAATTTCCTTTCTCAACAAGTTTTTATTCGAAAAATAAGTTTTTGTCAAATATTTGTGTTAGGATCATTGTATTCGTTGAAACAAATACTTTTTTGAATTTTTAGACATTGGCATTTTCTTAATTTTTAACTGTTTCAATGTGATCACCATTTTTTTTTTCAAATTTTAAGGTGCCTTTAGGAATTCTTGACAAAAGTGAAAACAAGATGAACGACATGATAGAAATTCTGGAATACCTTCACAAGTTTGTGCCAAATGCAAGAAATGCTGATGAAATAGAAAATCTAACAGAGAGGTGTGTATATTATAATTTTTAAAAAAAAATCAGCTGTCTGATGTGTTGAAAGACAAGAGAAAATACTTAAACTCAACCAAAACATATTTAAGTAAACATTGCAGTTATATATGTAAATTGAGGATTTACAGTTAAAGTGTGTGTAAGGTTGTTAAAAAAGGTATTATTATCCTTTATATTATGAAAAAAAAAAATAGCCCACTGACTGGCACTGAGTTAGTCCCACAAAGATTAAAAAGGGGAAGAGGGGGTTCATGGAGATGCACACTTTAGACCTTCCTCCACCTACATTTGCCACTGATTGTAATTTTGTTTACATTTCATATGGAAACAAGCTTAAAAGTCCATTATTTAAATTTTGAAGAAAAAAAACGTACCTCTTGTTGAATTGTACTGTGTACAAAAGGAAGTTCTTTATAATTATTTGTATATCTTGGTTTCTAGGGAGGACAGGGGGCCTATGCGAGTCATACCTTTGGGAGGTGACCAGTTAACCTGTGAACGTATTAGGGGGGCTCATATGGCACGGTTTGATGCAGATAGTCCAGAGGAGAGGCTGGAAGGCTGTATGTCCATGATGGAAGATTTCCATGAGAAGATGAATTTTTTACAGGTTAGATAAACAAGTACAACTAAAGAATTTCTTTTGACTATTGGTTTATGTTCCATCAGTATCTCATTTCTACAGTACCATCATGATCTGCAGATATGTTTAAACTATGCAAAGCAACTTATTTATGTAAGAGGGGTGAGTCTCCACCAGCATAACTGTTGATACTACAAACATTTATGCATGATTTAAAAAAAAAAAAGATACTGTAAAAAATGCTTATAGTGAAAATGCTTATAATATAATGACGCTTGTAGTGAAGTGATTTTCAATCCTTGTGACTTCAAAATGTATTGTAAACTTAACAGATATAATGAATTACATTTGTAACAAAGCAAAAACAGATGCCCCTGGTACTTCATTATAAGCGTGTTTTACTGTAATTATAGTGCTAATAGTTCAGGCATATTTAATTACTAAAATAAAAGCACTGTGTACTTGTACATTAGAAATAAGATATGCCAGAATCACACTTTTAATTTATCATATTTTTAATTTTAAAATTGCAGATGATAATGGACAGATTTTACAACAGTGGAAGTGCAAGGGAACCTGGAACTTTATATCACTTAAAGAGTGTGATTAACAGAAGGAATGTCAGTAGTACTGTGACGAAAGACTATCATGCTGACAGTGCTTTTATAGACTTAGTTGGAGAAAGTCACATCATTTCCCTTGCCTTAACACATTTTGGAATGGCAGATCTTAATGCACCGTGTAAAGTTTTCCCACATGGTATTCATCTAGCAGACATTGATCATAAGAAGAGGATTCTTCGAAACCTTGTTGGCGAGCTAGTTGACAGCCATATAATGAACATACTATCTCAGACCCTGAATAGAGAACAACTTTGTGAAGATGAAAATAATGACAGAATTTATAACTATGCAACAAATTTTTTGAAATTCTGGCTTCTACGAAAAATAAGCATAGTGGCCACAAGAAGTGGAGATGGGATGCGCATTTTACGTCACTGGAAATATGCTATGCTGCTCTATCATATTGCGCATAAGACAAAGTACAGACTGGAAGCCTTCCTGCTAATTGCCTGCACCATTGCTCTCTTCACTCCAAGACAACAACATCAAGTTATATGGAACAGATTTGTCAATTTAAGTGGTGGAAGGGGAAAAAATTTAGATGGGGATTATGTAATGGAACTTTTAAATAAATATGCCAAGGCAAGAGTAAAACTAATAGGACCAAACCATTCCCCAGAAACCGTACTAAGAATAGGCAAAACCATGATGTTTTGCCATGACATTTCTAGAAACCTGGAATGTCAGGTGGGAGCTGCTCCTATATCTAGGGATCACAAAGCCCAGGATACCACCGGAGACCTGACAAAACTTGTAAGAGAATTACAAAGAGCGAATGTTTTTACCTGTATACCTGGAAGGGCCCACAATTCATTTCAAAATGAACCATCTGATATTTTTACACAATTTAATGTTATTGAATTCCACAAGTGGATGAATGCAAAGAAGAAGCAATATGCTGGAAATAAACAAGCCTTTTAAATACATGTAAGTTGGTTTTTAATTGAGTTTTGTGTATCTTGAATGGTATTTATATAGTAGGGCCAACTTTAAAATAATGTTTGTTTGCCCTCTTCCAAATCAGAATGAATAAACTGGGTCAGTAGAGAGTTTGGATTTTTCTTTCTAAGAAAATTTCAGTATCAATGCTGAATTATCAAAATTTATTTTTCCAGAATGCATTAAAGTAATTATTTTCTGGAGGAAGAGGGCAACCAAACAATTTTTAAAAGATGGCCTAAACTTAATTCTTTTGTGTTTTCATTTCCACAAAATGAGTGGGATTTATCAATCAAGCAAGGAAATAACCCATACATGCACTGAAATAAAAGCACATCAGACAAGATGCCGGTACATGTATATACATTATTGTGTAATTGTTTGTCCTGACTATTTTGGAAAATGATTTTTTCTCATTTTAAGAACAGATGATACAAACAAACTTTTATCAAAAATCTTGAAAATTACAACTTAAGTCATGCGTATAAAATAAAATGTATATCCAATTTTTCAAAGGATGGGATTTAAAGTGACAAAATGTTGTGCACATTAATAAGGATGGTTGCAGAAATGTAGAATTTTTACCATCATCATGATCATAGAAAGTTTACAATTTCTTAATATTTTAGAAATTTATTACATGCATCATTTACAACCAGTCCAAAAATATATACCAATCCAGGCATCCATTTGTTTTGTTTGTATCATCTGTCCCTAATTTAAAATTTTTATCTCTAGTCAGACATAACATTCTCAATAATTTCAAAAACTTCCTCAGCACAGGCTCTTTGAAAAACAAACTGGGAAAGAATGTCCTCAAAAGAAAAAATGTAATGTACATTTGCAACAATATCACTTATAACTTTGTTGCTAAGACCTGTTATGAGTCCAATATTTAGCAAAGAAGTACATGTATCACCTAACAATTTTGCACGTAAGTCATACAGTTTTTCTTTAATTTTCTTTCTTTGCAGGTCATGTACAGTGCGCACTGGAGGCTCCTCAACCATATCCACAGCCTTTACGAGGGATTCCTCATCTAAGTCCAGAACTGCAGCAGTGTCAGAAGGACAATTACCAAATTCACAGTTGTGCTTGCAGTTATCACAGCACAAACACAGGCTGGAAACATTTGTGATTGTGGTATCTTCTGGTGTAAAATGTTCCAGTAAAAATTGACGTCTACATGATTTTAACAGACAAAATTCTCTCGTGTGACTATCGGTTGCAACAGTACTTATATCAGCTGGGTGATAGTATATAACAGACACGGATCGATTTCCATCCCTTCCAGCACGTCCACTTTGTTGCATGTATCCTTGAATACTGTGAGGAGCCCCCCAGTGGACAATAACACGTACGTCGGGTACATTCACCCCCATACCAAATGCAGTTGTTGCTATAACAACTCGCAACTTGCTATCAGTGTTACAAAACGTGTCCATTATGATCGTTTTGTTTTTCTGAGCAGTCGAATGATGAAACATGGCAAAAAGACAGTTTTTTGCTGAACATGTCCCAATATAGGAGTTTTGGGAACCAAGCTGGCTCATTAGATATTGATAAATGAGTCCACAAGATTTAATGTTTCTGCAGTAAATGATACATTTTGGGGTATTCTCTTTCATTACATTAAGGTCATTACACAACCATGAAAAACATTCATTTATGCTTGCTGGAGCTTTTATACAGACATGCTTTATGTTTGGCCTGTCACAACTCAAGATTACTTCAAGAAAATTCTTCATGCACAACATTTCTGAAATTTTTTTTCTATCAGACTGTGTGGCTGTAGCAGTTAAGGCTAACATATTAGCATTAGGAAGCAAACTTCTCAATTCTGCTAATCTAGAGTAATCTGTTCGGAACTCTGTACCCCTAGAAAAAAAGTTGTGCCAAATACAAGTCATATTATAGATCTTTTTCTGTAAGAAAGTAGAAAGCTATAAAATGATCTTTATATTAATTTATTATTATATCTAGAATTTCCATTATTTTCATTTTCTAAAAAGTTTTACTGAAAACATTATATCAGTACTAGGCAGTTTTAGTTGTAGGTAGAAAATAGCAAAATATTATATCTTTTATAGGTCTAAAAATGTACCTCACTTATATATACATTGTATTATTTTATGTACCATTGTTCAACACAGTGGCATTCGTCTATGACAATTGTGTGTAGGTGCTGTTGATATGGATCTGTGAGGATGAGCTCTCTCCAGGTGCCAGAGAAAAGACTTTCAGGACTCAACATTATCAAAGGAATCTGTCCATCTTTAATCAAGCGCATGCGTTCTGTGTAATACATGTATATTGATTGTTTAAAAGATATTGAAAAGATGATGCATCTATACAGTGTAAGAGTAGATATGTTTTTATTATATACCCAACTGTGTATCACTCAATTATGCAATCATGTGATGGTGTAATCACCACACAGTGTTTTTCTGATTGCATATCACCCCTGTCCGAAACTGATGATATAGCACACAGTATACATGAAGTCCTGTGAAAAAATGTTATGATTAATGGGAAAAGTTGTATAATTTATTCCCAAGGTCCTCTTTCAGTATATTTAGCTAATTATGGAGGGGTATATTATATAATATTTACATTTGCAAATGTTTTCTTTTATATAACACTGTTGAAAGCAATGCGTATCTATATCCATATAAACACAGGTTCCTCATGTCATAAATGTTCAACATTTTTTCTCAGTGACGTCATAAAGGGTCAACGCGCAATCAATAGATCAAACTTGTGCTGCTGAGTTTGAAAAATAAAACCGGTTGGTACGAGATCAAATTTACCATAAAGCCCTTCGGGCTTTATGGAATTTGATCTCATGACCAACCCGTATTTATATCCTGATAGATGTTTCAAAATGATACCTTATTTCATAACTGATTAGTGCTTGTACCACAATACATCATTGTATATCAATTGTATTCTCATATCGTTCATTTACTATATGTGTTATATGGCAATTTGTTGTACATAACATAACCTTAATAATGGCATCAATGTGGCAGTTGTTAATTTGATTTGAGCAGTCATTGTAACCAATAACATGAAATAAAACTTTTTGTTTGTCCTATGATTGGAAAGAAATATTTTGTATTGACTTCAATTTTATTTTTTAAATGTAAGCTAGAAGTTGACAGTTGATACAGATATCATAATTAAGTTACATTGATTGAAAGTTTGAATGAGGAAGTGAACTACATGTAGTAACAAACTGAAAGTGGATTCGAACCACTGTCTCCATTGCATAAAGCAATAGCGCTTTCACCGCTAAGCTATTCAGTTTTATGTAAGAGCTCACATTTCCATAATGCAGGAGTGATGTACAGATAAAAAAAGAAGAAATTAAGAAATCACGATAAATCAGTATATGAATATATTAACAGACAAACCTTCGGTGTGGGGTTCTCCAAGATAAATGGAATCTACTCCAAGTTTCGTGATATTCTGTACCTGATCTTTCATAAGAGATACTAGCGGAGACACAACTAATACAATACATGACTGTCTATCAACAGAGCTACAACTGACACAACTTTGAATATCGGCCTGGTTTGCAGCACTTTCTATAACTCGCCACATTTTTGGCAGAACGCTGTAAATAATGGACTTGTCATACCCTGTTGGTAGCACGGCAAAAACATCTTTACCAACGGATAAATGCTCTAAACCGTAAATCTGTTTTTCTTTCAACGCAAAATCTATCTGTAATGAGTCAAGAGTTGCTTTCAATGTTTTTTCCATGGGCGCAGCCATGACACTTTTCAACAGCCAATCAGCTGTCTTATCAGATTTCTGATAAGCCTCGCTCTGAGTTCAAATTTTTTTTCATAGAAAGCGTCCAGACGTTTGTAGAGGTAAATGCAAACGTCTGGATGATACAGACTAATAAAATGAATAAAAGTGTTGCTCTTGATCTCAAAAGCTAGTGAGACATCAAAGGGTAAGCTTTATGCATTTTTATTGTGCGTTTTTCAGTAGTTAGATGCTATTAAAAGTAATGATTAATATCTATGCCGATGACTTATCTGACAGATTAATTCCTTAAGCAGGGGAGAAAGAGAGAGAGGCAGTCTTGCGGGAGACTGGTCATCCCAATAGTTCAGACATTCCAACATTTAGAAGAGCAGATTTAATTCTAGAAAGGATAGGGCATACTATTGGGTCGATATTAAATTGTACAGTGACCAAACTTGTGTAACAGGAAAGGAGAAAATGTATGGGTAGACGGGAATCGAACACGGGACCCCAGCATCATCAGTAGCTGTAGGTAAACCACCTGATTAGTGATGCAGGGTCCTGAGTTCGATTCCAGGTCCAGCCATACATTTTCTCCCTTCCTATTAGGCCAATGATAAGAAATTTGTCTGATATACACCGACCGACCCATCAAAATCCCCCCACCTGATCATTTTTGCAGTATTTTAAATTTATTCACCTTTCTTTCATGCAGTCACAGATTGTCAATATCATTTTTAAAATAAAGCATTCTTTTTTTTTATTATTGAAAGTTTTTACATCAATAAACATTTAAGCTGTCTTGCTGTGAGGTGTAGCATAAAAACATCGGATCCATAAATATCTAAGACTGTGATTTTTATGACAAATATCAATATGTCATATAATTCCACCAAAAAAAACCCTACATACCATGTATCTACTTACCTTCAAAATGTGGGTTGGAGTAGATCAACCAAAAAAATTCTAATGATGGCCTTTCATAATTTGGTCACATTGACCACCTCTGGACTTGCAGGTGAAAGTCATTTAATTGCTATACATGTACTACCAAAAAAATGAACTCGCAATTTCCGAAGACTACTTGCAATTTTGAAATGTAATTTTTTACCATTAACATATAACATAAGTTAAAATTACAGCTGTTTAATACAAAATGTGACTTTGTGCATTTGTAGCTCAGTTTTTATTAAAATATTACCGTAGACTATTTCATATCAATATTTTCTTTGAAATTATATATACTTTCCTTTTTTCTTTTTCTCTTTTCAATAATGTGCTTGCATGGCACCATGTTGGGCACTTTAACACATGCTTATCTGTTTTGGTAGTTTATAATCAAAGAAAATGTTAAGAATCAAGGCCTAGGCCACTGTTTTCATATTTCCTTCCAAGCTTTGCAAAAGATGAAGACAACAAATATATCATGTTTTAATAACAATCTTCTAGAAACGTTACTCCCATTTCTATACTTGTTTTGTAGAAGTGAGTGGGACTGTTAAATTCTTTGGCAGGGACATCATCATTGCTCTTATCTTAATGCAATTTCTCATCCCCATGTACCAGAGGTCGTTTTTCTAAACATTCACCATCAAGCTATTTAAAAATGGTGACTGGAAAAGGGGAAAGTTATAAACTACTGAAGAAAACTGGGACAGAACAGTTTTTCTGGGGAAAAAAGTTACCAAAAATTGACTGGCAAAATTATGCGAGCTAAATTTTGAGCTTGCAATTCAGACATTCCATCTTGCATTTTGCTAGTCTTATATATTGAATTTTAAACTCTGCCCTGCAAGGGCAACAAGAACTTGGGTTGTGTCTTTGAAGGTGAAAACAATTTAAGAAGGGAGGTTTGGTCCATGGATGTTGGCCTAGATAGCTCAGTGGGTAGAGCACCTGATTAGTGATGCAGGGGTCCCAGGTTTGATTCCTGGTCAAGGAAATAGTTGCCACATAGCAGTATTAAGTGTAAATTAGCAGCAATAGCTATGTTCATTATTAGCATTTTTTCCATGCTTAGATCCAATCATTATCTTTACAGCTGAAGTATCAGGATAAATGATAATAATCTCTCTGTCAGCTCTTGTAATATTCAGCAAATCCTAAATGATCCAAATTCAAATTTGCACTGCATAAAAAATCAATTTTAGTATTTGTTTCTAGAAAAGGATTTTTTAAAAATGAACTTATCCTATTAGCTAAATCAAACAGTTGAATACTGATATTAAAACTATCACCTATTTAATTTTCTTTAAATTAGGGATAAAGAAGTGCACATCCACTATTACTTTAAATTTTTTAGGGATGTCAATTTTGTCAATAATTCATATTCGAATATTCAATGAAAGTATTCGAATATATTCGAATATTCGATAAAATAAATAAAATCTGTTTTATTTTAAATATGCATCATACTACTCTCACGAAAAGTTTAGGGTAGGTATACTTATATTGGAAGTAAATTGTATGAAGACTTTTGTAGTTGTATAAGAAATTCCATTTGATATATAATTTTATAATTTTAACAAATGAAACATATGTATTTATAGTAGCTCCAACTGAGGAATCAGTAGTCTTGCCAAAGGCAAGATATAGTAGTAACGGTATACTGTTCAGATTTCAGTACGTGTAATAAATTACAATTATCTGCCTAATAAGAGATACGATTATAATCTTTGATACAATGCTTTTAAAATATAAACAAATATCCATAGACAATTTTCCTAGGTAATTAATTAATTTCCCGATAATGAATATAAATTAAAATTCAGGATTATATAGAACCCAAGATATAATCATTTAATCTGAAATTGAGCCCCTTACAAAATTAATTACAGTGGACATTCATTTGAATGATCAATTAAATTTGTTTAGATAAGTATACTCTTCACGTCTTTTAGACATTCTAAGACGGTTTTCATTTTGTTGTCCTCGATTCTAAACCCGATCGTATTTAAGTAATAAAAACTATGAAAGCACGTTTTGTATTATACATAAAGCATTATTGTACAATTCTTTAACACCTTACTCAAAACAAAATTCATGAAATTTAGTAATTCTATAAGAAAGAAATCAGGCGATCGAAATTGATCGCTAGTAAATTAAAGAGGGATAATTCCAGCACTGCTCTGATCAAAGTTTAATAATCACAGTACTTCTTTTTATGAAATCTGAAAAACACCGAATATTCGAATCTTAAATTCATATTCGAATATCAACTCATCGAATGAATATTCGAATATTCGTTGCCATCCCTAAAATTTTTATATGTACTGACTCTGAAGAAGATGGGACTGTTTGGTGACTTTGATCAATATTTGAAAGAGGTGTTTTCTTTATTTTCATCAGCTTACTGGAGATGAATATTTTATGGGCATTAGAAGCAAAATTTCCAAAAGGCTGGTGTAAAATGGATTTTAACACCAACTTTTGTCATTTAGACAGTTCTGTCCATTAAACATGATGGATAATGGCTCATTAAATTCTCCCTCATTAGAGTGGTCTAGTACCTGTATACATTAAACTGGATGTCCATCAGGCTGTAATTTCTTCAGTCTATCAAACAATTACTCTGAAAACTTTAAGGTACATTAGATTCTTTTTATATATCCCTGCATGTGTTCCATTTTATCATAAGAAGCAGTGATAATGTATTTTCCTGCCTCCAATACTCTATATATGTAGGAACTGATGGCATTATTTACAAAGTTCACATATCATAAAAAAACCTCTAACAGCTCTCTCCATTACATTGTTGAGAATCTGTGTGATATAGGCTGTATAGATTCATTGAACACCACACACACACATGTTACAAAGGAGACATCGCATTCATCAATTCTCTGTAGCCTGACAGATTTGTCCTTGCTGTGACAGGGAGTATACTAGAATCTTTATTATCATTATTTATTGGTGAGTTATTTGGAAACAATATGATCCATTCTTTTTCTTTTGGGGGGGGGGGGGGGGGGTTGAGTTTCATATGAATTATATTCTTTGTTTGTTTGTTTGGGTTTTTTTTAAATTCAACTTAATTTAACTTGAATTCAAAGGTGACAATGATTGATTTGTTCCATCAACATTGCTATAATCACTATTATATAGATATTATTAGACAAAGGTATACACTTGTTCTTCATTGTTCTTTTATTTCTAATCTTATTTCTTTTCTTATAAACTTTGATGAGATGCTGTACACAGCTTTGCACATGTTGCAGAAGTGATGTTCTTTGTGATATGGAAGCAGTAGGAAGAGAGTTGCATTTGTGACAAACTGTTTTATAGATTACAGGGGAACCAAACATAAGTAGGATTTTCTATAAGGAATAAGATTGTTAATTTGCTTTGGTTTGGTTTAGTGAAGAGTGTTTTAAAACCAGATGCTTTCAGGACTGTAACCCGATTTCTGGAATGTGGTTGCACGTGAGGGTTATGTAAATATATAATGAGTAGTTATAGCCCAGAAATTTATGAAAGAGAACTAACCATTTGATGCATTTTAGGAGCAGTTTTTAAAAATTAAATAACAAAATCTAGCAGTTTTGCTTTATACAGATGAGTAGTAAATTTCTTTTGTTTCAAAAGGATATTTTTGAGTTTCTTCTCTTTTACTTGGGGGGGGGGGGGGGGGATGCAACATACCTCCCCTCCATACAACCTTGTCTTTGTAACTATGATCCTTCGTTACCTCCTTGACATTAGAATATGTCCTTGTTCTTTAATCTGAATTAATAAAACATCTAAATTAGTTTTTATTAAAACATTGCCACTCCATTTGGTAACCACTGTGGTTTTCTTGCCCACACAGTAAAAATTCAATGAATATTCACATGAAATATTACAGCGGATTGATTTGTCTGTGATTATGGAATGTATTTCTTTATTGGGTGTAATTGAAAATCCATTGCAGTGATCAGTATCGTGTAGCTAATGGTGACCGCGTTATCAATATGGATTTTCTGACATTTTCAGGATGTGTGTTTTCCTGAGTGGAGACCCTAGTATGCCTTCTATTGATTGTACTTATGGGAGTTTTTCTGTCTTAAGATTCTACGTGGTCAATGAACAAAAAAAAATTCTCTGTTTTGGAATTCAATAAAATAACCATAATGTAAGAAGGGAAATGGATTCTCTGCATTTTTACAATAAATACTGTACAATAAAATTTTTATTAATCAATAAAACAATTGGGCAGAAAAGCAAAGACCACAAAAGACAAAAAAGCAGCATCAGAACGAAAAAAAGGGAAACCAGAGAAAAGGAATGCAGAAGAGGAGGGAAAAGGGGGAGGGTCTGATTGATTTTGTAATGGAAAGTCTTTTGAGTTCATTAGGATTGCATGCATACATTTTAAGGAAATGGTTAGAGGGCAAGGCAGGGTTATTAAATGATTGATTCACTCAGATTTTTATATCCCATTGAATATTTATGCTTCCAGGTCACTCAAGCCCAGCATCATTGATAATGCATGTATTTACATATAATAAGCATTGCTTGTTATGAGCTTTGCCGATTCTTTGATGCATACAGCACAGTGATGTGTGCATACAAGTGTAATGGTTTGGGTCGTGGATGTCAGCCTGGGTAGCTCAGTCGGTAGAGCACCTGCCTAGTGATGCAGGGTTGGGGTTCCAGCAATACATTTTCTCCTTTCCTGTTACAAATTTGGTGCCATTGGCCACCCCTGGACTTGTAGGTGAAAGTCCTGCCAGGGGCAAATAAGAACTTGGGTTGTGTCTTCAAGGGCAAAGACAGTACAAGGAGGGAGGAATGTAATGGTTTGGGCCGTGGATATAGTAATGCAGTGGGTCTTGGGTTCGGTTCCCGGTCCAGCCATACATTTTCTCCTTTCCTGTTACACAAATATATTGTGTACACAGCTCATTGTAAAGTTTTTATGCATGTAAAAATTAAAGCCTATTTAGACTGCTTATCCACGTATTATTTTCATATCCTTTTAGTAGCTACATCTGATCAGGCAGTTGAGAGAAAAGTGCGAATGATTGAAACTTTGTGTTTATTATTGTGGCTCTGTATATATATAGCATGTCGTATTAATAGCTATAGTGTAAGATTCAGTGGGCTGCGTGGCTCAATCAATACCAACATTTTCTCTATCTGTATTATGTTTCAGAGCCTTGCTGTTATTATTTTTACATGCATAAAGGCTTTTAAAGATGGCTACATGTTTTACATAATCCTGTTGACATTTACCTGGATTTGATGATTGCAAGTTTATAGGAGGAATTTCTAGCTGTTCTCATGGGAAAAGGGAATTAATCAGCTGTAAGCCATGGACCAGTTTCCATAATGATTCTATTTTTTGTGCATGTTAATGTTGTTAATTCTACTGGAGATGTGTTACTAACTTTATGATGTGTATTACTAACCTAATGATATAGTTTAGACATGAAAATTATTTAAGAAATGAGTGTAAAATTAAGGCCTATTGTGTCAAAGTTTTGAAAAATACATTTATGGGGAGCGGGACTCATTGTAAACCCTTGATAAGTTAAGATTGTCCTGGAGTGGTTGGTATTGCCATTTTGTAGGTCAGTTGTTAACTGACATGTCTTATTGTTGCATTGATTGATTCTTGTAATGATTCTATTGATTTTCCTTTTAGGAGAGTGGACAGGCTTTAGCCCACATAGACCATGCTTATCCATTTCTCTAAAGATAATTATTCTTTTGACTAATGATAGATAAACAAACTTAATGGACATACATGTACTTGTACACTTCATTTAGTGCCTAGCTATACACCACTGACTTGAGCTAGCTACAATTGTACATGACCAGTGAGGACACTGACCTTAAAAATTTGTCTTTCAGTCACATGGCTTTTAAGCTCTCACGTAAAGAATGGTGGAGCATCCTTGGCTGATCTACCGGTACTCTTGAATAGTTATTTGTTTATTTTATAAACATGAATCCTTAGAATAAGGGGTAAAAGGAGAATTTGTATGTAGCCAGCAGTCCTGATTCAGGTGACCATAGAAGATTTGTACTCTATGTTATACCTTATTGTAGCCGTGGTGCTGAGTACTGTATTGATCACTTATAAGAAGAAAATGTGGCATATTGATCTGTTGTGACTTTAATTATTAAGCTAGTGCCTTGTGACACAGTTTTTGTGGGATACTAACTAATTAAGGTCCTGCAGACACCATGTGGCTGTGACATTGTTAAAGTAGGTGATAGCTGAGGAAATGTTGCACCGTTCATGGATTGTCTAGGGCTATACCACAATTTTGTCAAAGTATAAATATTTTGTGAGTGGATCTGCAATAAATTTGCCACAGTCTAAATTTCTGGTAGGATCTTGGTCGGTATGTATATAATGACCATGTCTGGAATGTTGGAATTTTACAGTAGCAGTATCACCCAGCACTATATTTTTTCAGATACATCTCTTGTGTAGAATTGATAGGATAGTATTTGCATATACCGGTATACTTGTTAAATTTGATCACTCTCTGTGTAAAATATGGACTAGCTATTGTAGATTGAGAAAAAAATCTTTTGGAATTGCAGGAATTGTCTATTATAATAATACTAATGTAGAGCCTCAGTTAAATGAAAGCAACAGTTTCCGATTTTAAAGTCTTTTTATGTTGTTTTATCTTTTTAAGTTTAATCCTAGTTGTACATGATTGATTTGCCTACATATAAGAGCTGAAATTCTATTTCACACAGAATTGAATGAAGATCTAATCCAGTTCAAAGCCATGTCTTCAGCTGTTATAACTAATAGATAAAGTCAACATTTTCTTATTTATAGACCTGATTTCTTTAAAAACCTGACCACTTGTTCCAAAAGTCTAATAATGTTATTTTACAATAATAGCATTTCATGACTACTACACAGTTATTTGTAGAATTGTAACTTCTTGTAGTGTCAGGTGAATTTAAAGTTCTTAAAAAAAGAAATAAGGGTTTATCTACATGGACGTCTTTAAACAGGTAAATTGTAAATATGGTAAGGTAAAAAAAAAAATGTCCACCCTAGTACATTTATAGCATACCTGTGCTCACAGGAAGTCAGGCTTTCCATTTTCCAGTTCTGAAGATAAAGAAAAGGGGCAGGTTTATTGTATGTACTTTTGAAGCTACTGGAATATGAAAATGGATGTACCATTCACATAGTGCATAAAGTTTTTGTAAATGTATTACTGTATGTAAGCTGATTTACATTTAACAAGTATAATATTTACAATCTATTAGCTTTTGTATCAGTCTAAGGTTGGATAATGCCACAGAAATTACATCTGAATCAGTAATGTATATCTTAATAGTCTAGCTATTAAAGATTGTGATAGATGTTGAGAAGTCCTGATATATATATAGCTGCCATAAGTGAAAAGATGGCCACTATAGATTTTAAGGCTCCGTAGTGTTTCCATTACAGAGTTTTCCCGGTGTCTTTATTGTAACTTGGTAATCAACCTCTCAGGACTTTACTTGTACAGTCAAACCTCGTTCTCTCAAACTTGATGGGATCGAGAATATACTTGAGAAATTTGGGTTTTCAAAATATCCAGAGTAAAATACTTAAAAAATAAGTGCTTGGGACTTCAAAATCTTTTCGACATATCCATGGTGTTCGGGATACTGAAGTTCAACCATATATGACAGCATATTTTGAAATAATTACGTACATTAGTAATTAATTTTTTTTTTAATGTTCTGTGTTTTTGAATTGGAGGAAGGAGGAATCAACTGCATGCTTTTGTGGATATCTGCATAATACATAATTTGATTGTCATCCTTGTGTAACATGCAGTTAGATGACATTTTCAGTTGTATTGGTAATGTTAAACCTCTACTGTTAACAGAATACATGCATCTCTGTGTCTATGCCAGTCATTAGAACTGGATTTCAGATTTTCCTCTGTAATCAAAATCTTCATGAATAGTCCTCTGTGAATCAGAGCTGCAGAAATATTGGAGTTGTCAGGAGAAATTATTGTATGGGGAAATGTCAACCGATAGCTGATAGGGTGTGAAAGGAAGACAGGATGGTTACAATGTTCTAAGAAGATTTGTTTTGTGATCATCAGGGAATCTCTAATTAGTCGTAAATGTGGTGATAAAGTGTTGATGTTTAGCTGAAGAGAAATTCTGTTTCCTGAATTGAATATAATGAGAAACTGATGAGTGGATTATTCACCCAAAAAGTGCAAGTGGAAATATATCTTTCTTCAGTTCGCAAATGCTTGTGTCATACCTTTGAAATAACGTGAAGTTGAATTAGTAAAATAGAGTCTGACTACAATTTACTATTTACGAGTGTTTTGTGGAGTTTTTTTTTTTATTTCGGACTTTATTTCGGAGTTTGACTGACTTGAGTAAACAAATCACTTCAGATTGTAGTGATTAAAAATTTTGTGCTTGTTGGTTTTCAATTAGCTATACATAAACTGTAATTTTATTAATTAGTAGTTTTTATTACCAGAAACTCCAAATAAAAAAATTGCATTCTATTGGTCAATACAAACATGAGTGCTCTATGATAGAATAGTGACATCACATTGATTAAGAAAATAGGGATTGAGAAATTAGATTGAAATAGAAAGTGGTAAAACATGGTAAGTGTTAATTGATCGTATTGAGTACACTGCATCATAAATGACAAGATGTAATCTATGCAGTTTTATAATGCGCAAAAAAAAAAGCAATAGTCATATGTGTGCACAGCTTGTGTGATTTATGAAACACAGTATACACAATGCAATATGATCACTTAATGCTTTAAGAGATCTGTATGATTTGATATCCCAGTCAAAATGAAAAAAAAAGTGTTATACATGTTTTATAGAATTAATTCCTACTGTTTTGTTTTCATAGATAGTCTCAGCATGAGATGAAGATGCAGTGGAGCCAGAAGGTCAAAGGTCAACAATGTCGGGTTCCTCAGACAACGAGAACACATCACTGATGGCAGATCAGGCCAAGGGGAAGAAGAAACAGCCAGACTGGAGCCGGTTTGGTCTGAGTCGGGAACCAGTAAAAGGAGAATCTGGTGTGACCCGGTCACCTTCAGAAATCCAAGATGGCAGCTATCAGTCACTAGAGGAAGGCAAGCATAATGAACTCTTCAGGGAAGACCAGGTACAAAGGCAATGATAGGGAATTTAAATTTAATGTGGATGAGATTAGGTGGACTGATTGACATTAAAATTGATGTGAGCTATAGATAATTTCAGTATCAATAACAGAGTTTACAATATCAAAAACACAAAAACATTTAGGTCATTTTTAGCTCTACTGGTCAGAGACCAGAAGAGTTTATGCAATAGTAAGGTGTCCGCTGTCCGTCCGCCCGTCTGTCTAGCTGTCTGTTTAGCTGTCTGTCTGTCTGTAAACAATTTTTTAAAACTCTACTCCTCCTACAGTTTTGGTCTGATTTCAAAATAACTTTGCACACAAGTAGACTACACTAAGATACATAATTTAGTGCATCGGTTTTTGATTTCAATGAACGGTGTTGCCATGGTTACTAAAAATAGAAATCTCTGTGAAATTCCTTTAAAATGCTACTCCTCCTACAGTTTTGGTCTGATTTCAATATAACTTGGCACACAAGTAGACTACACTAAGATACATAATTTAGTGCATCGGTTTTTGATTTCAATAAACGGTGTTACCATGATTTCTAAAAATAGAAATTTCTGTGAAATTCTTTAAAACGCTACTCCTCCTACAGTTTTAGACTGCTGTTAATATAATTTGGCATATAAGTAAACTATACTAAGATACATAATTTAGTGCATCAATTTTTGATTTCGATGAACAGTGTTGCCATGGTTACTTAAAATAGAAATTTCTGTGAAATTCCTTTAAAATGTTACTCCTCTTACAGTTTTGGTCTGATTTCAATCTAATTTGGCACACAATTAGAATACACTATGATACATAATATGTATTTTGGTTTTTGATTTCAGTGAATGGTGTTGTCATGGTTACTGAAAATAGAAATTCCTGGGAAATACTTTCAAAACGCTACTCCTCCTACAGTTTTCGTTTGATTTTAATATAACTTGGCACAGAAGTAGACTACATTAAGATTCATAATTCTATTTATTGTTGCATGTTGCAAAGTTTCAAAATTCAAGTGTTCCTTTTCCTTTGTTATACGTACAGACCAGTAGAGCTACAGTCTCATCAGAGACTTCTGGTTCACTTTTATGCATGATGTTCTACATCTTAATTACAAATCTATAGTGAGTATGAATTTTTCACTGACATGCTTATATGTATATGCACACAGAACTGTCAAACATTGAAATATGCTGTACTTTTCATATAGGATCAAAGTGTTATTTGGATAATTTTCAGAGACTTTAGTTAGACATATAGCCTTTTCTAGGATAAATATGTTAGGCTTATGTCATCATGTCACTTGTCAGCAATACATGAAAATCCAAACTCATGGTGATAATGTCCTAATTGGGCAACAAAATATGAGCAAAGGAAAATCATTTTAATATATTGCATTTGTATATATAACCTTTCAGCATCTGTCCTCCCAGAAGCCATGGTATAAAGCCAACTTCTTTATTTCGGAGCCGGTCCTATTTGGGACGTGGGACGGGGTATTTACTTCCTGTCTCATCAACATCCTCGGTGTTGTTATCTTCCTCAGGATGGGCTGGATTGTTGTAAGAATCACTCTATTCAATTCAATTAAATGTGACTTGTAGTAAAGAATTCAAATTATTATGTACAATTTTCTCAGCACAATAAAGTAAAACACATTTATAACGAAGTGCCAGGGATGGATTATTTTTCTTCATTATATTAAGTACAATTGTTATATCCATTAAGAATACATGTACAATAATATTTTAAAGTCACTGAGATTGAAAATAACTTCACTATAAGCATCAATTCATTATAAGAGTGTTTGTTATAAGAGTGTTTTACTGTAGCTAGGCATTGAATCCTTAAATTTCATGAATTGACAGAGAGAACTGATGTATTGTAGGGGAATGCTGGTATCCTGTTGACCATCCTCATGATTTTTGTCACTGTGTTCATAGTGCTGATTGTTGCCCTGAGTGCAATAGGGGTCTGCGAGAGATGCAAGATGGAGGGAGGGGGTGTTTATTTCCTGGTGTCTCATGTCCTAGGAGGCAGAATTGGGGGGTGTATAGGAATTCTCTACTGCTTTGCACAAGTAAGAGTCTACAATAGGAATTTATGCATTGAAGTAAAACAATATTATAGAAAATTGATTGAGTTGATTAATTTCTCGATACCCTACATGTAAATATGGAAATCATATATCATGCTATCTAGTATACTTAAATATTCAAAGTAAAGTGTAAATGCATGTCATGAACCCCTTTGATCAATCATAAATTAATACTTCAAGTGCTCATATGTATATGTGAAATCATGTTTGTTTTGTTTTTTGTTTGTTTGTTGTTTTTTTTTTGTTTTTGTTTTTGTTTTTGCAATGTTCATGAATCAATGCACAAAAGATTTCTCCATAGACAGCCAATTATGAATTCTGATAAATAAATGCAAGCTGTTTAAATTCTTCCCATTCACCTTCTATCATAATGTTATTTTAATTTCTACACAGAATTAAGATCCATCAAGAAAATAATAAATGTTGAATTTAAATATAGCTGTATCATTAACTCTATGTTTTTACAGTCTGTGAGTTGTTCGCTGTCAGTGATGGGGTTTGGAGAGTCTATCATGCGGCTGATGGGAGAGGAGAATCCATGGATTGCCAGGGGTGTAGCCATAGCCTTAGTGTTGCTTCTACTGGGTAACTATCATTGCTTCTATCTCAAGCCTTTTTTTTTAAAGTATATTGTATGTTACAATTTTAGCTCACCTGAGCGGAAGCTCAAGTGAGCTTTTCTGATCACCAGTTGTCCATCATCCGTCTGTGTGTAAACTTTTCACATTTCAACTTCTTCTCAAAAACCACTGGGCCAATTTTAACAAAAGTTGGTACAAAGCATCCTTGGGTAAAGGGGAATTTAAATTATTAAAATGAAGGGCCTAGCCCCCTTATAAGGGGAGATAATCAAGAAAAGACAAAAATAGGGTGGGGTCATTAAAAAATTTTCTTCTCAAGAACCACTGGGCCAGAAAAGCTGAAACTTATATGAAAGCATCCTGGGGTAGTGTAGATTATAGAAAAAAATCTTTAACAATCTTCTTCTCAAGAATCACTAGGCCAGAAAAGCTGAAAACTAAGTGGAAGCATCCTGGGATAGTGTAGATTCTAAATTTTTCAAATCATGACCCCTGGGGGTAGGGTGGGGCCATATTAGGGAATCCAAGTTTTACAATGAAATATATAGGAAAAATCTTTAAAAATTTTCTTCTCCAGAACCACTGGGCCAGAATAGCTGAAATTATGTGGAAGCTTTCTGAGGTAGTGTAGATTCTAAATTGTACAAATCATGACCCCCGGGGGTCGGGTGGGGCCACAATAGATATTACAAGGGGGAAATCTGGTGAAGAATAGCAAGGCCAAAGTTACTTAGGTGAGTATTGTGGCCCATGGGCCTTTTGTTTGAGTTTTATAATTATACAAAAATATGACATCATAAATACGAGCTTCAAGATGAACAATTTCATTTAAAATGCCACATTTAACCCTGAAATACATTCTTCTGTATAAGATAATGGTTGTAGCTCCTTTATCTTATATCTACAGATACTTATATCTAAAGATTTTGTCTTGTTTTTCAGGTATAAACATAGCTGGAGTGAAGTGGGTGATCCGACTACAGCTCATTCTGTTGTTTGCCTTGTTCTTTTCTGCCATGGACCTCATTGTGGGATCTTTTGTTCACACAGATCCAGGTGGGCCATTTTCAGATTCTCTTGTTGATGGAGCAGTCTTATCAACTCATTAAAACTGTTTTGGAATTCAAAAAAAATATTCCTCAATGTGTAATCAATTAATGTATAAGCAGAAATTTTAGCGAGGGTTCGATTTTGGCATTTTTAGCGAGGATGTTGAGATCGCTAAAATGAAAATCGCTAACAATTCCTTCTGTATAGGAGATAACCATTATATTTCTAGGCAACATAAAATTGCTAAAATTACTTCTCACTAAAATTATATACCGATTTTTCAGGACAAATCGCTAAATTTGCATCTCGCTAAAATTTCCACTCGTACAGTATTTTTTTAGGTAAGTTTTTTGTGGTCAGAGGAAATAATACTGGAAATAATGGATTTGATTTGATGGTTGAGGAAGAAACATGATACTGTAGTTTTAAGATTCTTGTTTGGAGGACATAAATTTGTGGGTCTCTTCATACCATATGATAGCAATGAGTTTCAAAGTTACACCCTTAAAAATCACTGATTTCACAGTACCAGGTATATGGTGGACAGTTTCCAGATCTTTATGTATTAATTGATTATTTTGATTTAATGAATACCAGGTAAAACTTAATTCAGGGTATCAAGCACATGTGAGCAGGAAACCTTTTGTTTTCCATTACAGAACATGGAGTAACCGGTTATATGGAAGTTAATCTACGTAATAACTCTAACCCGGACTTCCTGGAAGGGGAGAGCTTTTTTAGCATGATGGGATTGTTTTTCTCCACGGTAACAGGAATCTTAGCAGGAATCAACATGAGTGGGGATCTTAAAGACCCATTTAACAACATTCCACAGGGAACCCTGGCTGCTCTCGGTGTCTCGTGAGTAATTAATTAAGTCTTCAGTAATTATGGATTTTAATTTGATTTTTCTGTCCATGAGATTAGAGATCTTATAGTGTATTTTGTCTTGGTTGATCTTTTTGTTTGTTCACTAACTTTGATGAATGAATAATTTTAGATTTTAATCCTTTGATATACTGTATTCCATTTGGCTGTGTATTCTATTTAGTGCTTTTCACATGCAGAAAGCAGCTTCCACTAAATCAAGTACATCGCTACTTGTCTTGTGTATATGGATTCATTTAAAGCAGATTCAAAAAGCACTAAATCAAATCTATGCTAACTTGTTGAAATATCAATTTCCGCCAGATATCATACATGCCACAATAAAATGTGTTTACCATATTTTACTATTCTGTGGCTGAGTTTTTGTCAATCTTTTCAGCACTCTCCTATATGTATCATTCACGTTAGTCCTTGGTGCCACTTGTGTACGCTTCTACCTCATCGATGATGTCATGATAGCAGAAAAGGTCAGTTTATGGCTACAAGGTGGATAAGGGAAAATTTAAAAGTTAAATTTTAGTTCATTCTGATATTTTGATTGTCCATTTCCTTTGTTTCCCAGATGACTATAACAGGGTTCCTATGGTCAGCTGATATTTTATATGCTTTGTTTGTTTTGCAGGTGTCTATAGCAGGATTCCTATGGTTAGCCGGTCTATATATATCTTCAGTGTCCTCATGTATGGGCAGTCTGTATGGGCCTCCCAGAATTCTCCAGTCCATTGCAAATGAGAACGTCATGCCGATAATTCGTTTATTAGGTCAAGGGGTCAGTATTACTTGAAAAACTGAGGTTTAATTATGTAAAGTTATATTTACACTTGTATGATATTGATCTCTTTGAGAATATAAAATGAGTTTCTTTCTGCATTGTATTTTGGATAATATACCGGTAGTGAATTATCAAAGATTAGTTTCTTTTAAAAATGCAAATTGAAAAATTTAAAATACATACATGAAGTTAAACATATTTATAAGTATTATTTATCTCCAGCGACCTTTCTTGGAAAAGAATTACCTAATGTCTATGTACTTGTTTGAAACATCTTTTTTGCAGAGAGGACCAAAGTTTATACTTTAATTCATCTAAATCTAGTTTCTGTTGTTTTTTTTTGTCAGAGAGGACCCAACAAAGTTCCCATTTATGCTTTAATCCTTATAACTCTAGTCACACTTCTTTTCATCTTTGTGGGGGATGTGAACTCACTAGCCCCGATCGTCACCACAGCATTTATGATGACATACGCAGCTATTGATTATGCCTATTTCGCACTTGCCATGTCTTATGATAAACATCAGGAAAATGAACTTAAATACGGACCAGTGAATAAAAAGAAGCTGTCAGCTGGGGATCTAGGAAACGGAAATGTTAGTTATGGAACTTACACTGCCCCAAGACCTAAAGATTCGTTTGAGAAGCTGGCTAGTGATTTAGACAGTTTGTTTCCAGAGAGAATGACACAGCGGGGACAGCACCACCTGGTGAGACAGGGAAGTGGTCAGAGTGGTGCCACCACACCAGAGGCAGACTTTGATGCCACCAAGCGGCGCATCTCAGTGGAGAACACCACTGACCAGAGTGACAAGACCAATCTTCTACCGGAGAAAACCTTAGGAGGTACAGGTAAAAATTTCTTGTCAAATACTCTAAACATAATTTTTTCCACTGGGTCATAATGCCGTGGGCCCACAATTTCTCTTCAGTCCACGGGTTGAGAGTTATGCAGATTTCTTGGATTGCCTTTTTATGTCTTATTAAATGCACATTAAGTATGCTGTTACAAAATTCTGCGGAAAATTTGTACATAGTGTTAACTAATCCCCCACTGAAAAAAGTACACCTACAGTAGATTGTAAAATTGGTTAAGTAAGATATTAAGATATAATTTGGCTGCTGACATTGAGCATGAGATTATGTTATTAAAAATAATGAACATAAAACCATGTCTAATGTGTAAACACAGTGTTTGAAGTTCAAATGAATAAAATTGGTAGGCGGTAGATGGAGTAATAAAGCGGTAGACTTCCACCTAAAGTGGTAGAGTTAACATGTATGGTTTGAACTAAGCCATGATTTTTTTCTATGTATCAGCCTAACCTATTTATGACATTTTTTGAAGTTCTCTTTTAATCTGTAATTATCAACAATGTAATTGTTTACAGAAGGAGAGAAGAAACCCTTGAGTGATGAAATCATCAAACAACCAACCTCCTGGTATTCCTTTCTGTGTAACAGATGGCTCTCATTGTTCGGGGTATGTGTGTACTTACAGGTCTCCTCCGTTGTGTTTAAAAGAATGAACAAAAAAATTTTACAATAAAGCTACATACCAGTAATTGTGAAATAATGATGAAACATATCAAGTTGAGGATAAAATTATATTTGAGATGACTGATAAACTACATGTAATAATTTTAATGACGTGTTTACAGAGCATAGTGTGTATCATCATCATGTTCTCCGTACAGTGGGCCTACGCCTTGGGGGAAATGACTGTTGTACTAATTATATACATCTATATAGGACAGGCCAGCCCCGGCTACTTTCCAGGTATGCTCTGACCTCAGCCTCACTACTTTGTTTGGTTCACCTGTACCATCAGCTCAGTTTAGACTCTGGCATTGATCTGTAGTCTCTCTGTAAACTTCTCACATCTTCATACCTCCTGCAAACAAAGTTTGGGGGGTATATAGGAATCACCTTGTCCGTCCGTCTATCTAGCTGTACGTCCATCCGTTATGCTTTGGGGTATACATCTCTTATCCGCAACTCCTCTTATACCACTGAATAAAATTTAATGATACTTTCACTGAATCTTTATTACATAGTGCCATTGTGCACTTCCTATTTTATTTTTTGATCGGAAGCATATTTTGGGCCTCCATAGCAAAATATGGACTTTGCCATTATAAACATGGGAGGCGGGGGGTATTGAGCTCAGTACTCACAGTTCTAGTTTTTTTTTTTTTTTGTTTTTTTGTTGTTTTTTTTTTGTTTTTTTTTAATGAACAATACATATATTGCCATGGATACTTAGAATAGATTAATCTTTTAAATTTGATGAAAGATCTACTTCATTAAGGTTCTGACTTGATTTCAGTACAACTTGGTACATAGAATACATTTCTTTCTCATAAAAGATTTTTATATACAAGTATATGTACATGTCTGTGTAAAGTAAATGAAAGATGTTCATTCTCATTTTTTTTTCCCTGCAGGTATTGCTGATTTTAACATGTATGAGTGGATAAAAGGAGGCATTAAACGTTGTTGCAGGTAAATATATGGTGGTTTAAACATATTTTATCACAATACATGTAAATATATACAGTGGGATTGGGCACAAGTTCTAAAAACTTAATTCAACCTCTTCCTAAATAAACAGGTAAATGTATGTTCCTTGAATTATCAACTGAAGACTTAATGTTCCTTTCCTTTTGTTTTTTTATTTTTTTAAACAATATATTAGTTTTTCTAGCTGAATTACCAATTAATATTTCTCCATTGGCAGAGGTGGGAAGAATGTACAGGAGGAGATCATTGTAGCACCAGCTACACCAGCAATGAACCTAATGGCTGCCCAGTTAACTGATGACAATGAGGACTTTGCCAACAGAGGGCGCTATCATCAATCAGAGATTGTCAGGGGAGAGAACTTTGATGATTATAACAGTGACTGAGTGATCAACAAATGAAAATCCAGTTCAGTTTTTGTATCAGCCCTTAGCAGTTTAGAGTATCTTCACAGAAAATTATAAATATTCCATCTTCCATTCTCCTGAAGACTCCAGATATGTTTCTACTAATAGGAATTTAGACTGCATTCTGGTTCCTTAAGTATTAACACTTTCAAGGGACTTTAACCTTTCTAGTAAATGAAGTTTTGCATTTTTCTATGTTTAATCATTCTCTTCAAGAGAGAAACACAGGTTATTCATCTTTCTAATTAATTGAGGAGGAGATTTTGGTGCACTTTTTTATCCTTTATTGGAATCTGAGACATAATAAGGCTTTATTTACTGTTAAATGCCACATTGACCATGTTATTTATGACCAATTGATATTTTAATAGTTATACATGGAGATGTTAATATTCATTAAGCACTAGTTGATTTTATCTTTCAGGGTTCAGTACCATGTTTTTATGAAAAGATCATTATGTAGCTGCAGCCGTTGTGCTCAAAAGATTGTAGTATAGATTTGGGAGGATCCATACAAAAAAAAGTCGATTTTAAAACATTCCAGAGTTTTCCATAAATTTTATTTGTGCTTCCTTGCTTCTGAACATTTCTTTTTCTTGCCAGATTTATCTTGATATATTAGATATAAATAAATGATTGGATTTTTTTTTCTTTTTAGCTCACCTGAGCCAAAGGCTCAAGTGAGCTTTTCTGATCAAAATTTGTCCGTTGTCTGTCGGCGTCGGCGTCGTTGTTGTCGTAAACTTTTCACATTTTCATCTTCTTCTCAAGAACCACTGAGCCGATTTCAACCAAACTTGCCACAAAGTATCCTTGGGTGAAGGGGATTCAGGTTTGTTCAAATGAAGGGCCATGCCCTCTTTCAAGGGGAGATAATAAAGAATTAGTGAAAAATTAATAGCATCTTTTAAAAATCTTCTTGTCAAGAACAACAGAGCCAGGGAAGATGAAACTCATGTGGAAGCATTCTCAGGTAGTGTAGATTCAAGTTTGTTCAAATCATGACCCCCGGGGGTAGGGTGGGGCCACAATGGAGGATCAAAGTTTTACATAGAAATATATAGGAAAAACCTTTAAAAATCTTCTTCTCAAGAACAGCAAAGCCATGATGAGTCATATTTATATAGAAGCATGCTCAGGTAGTAAAAATTCAAATTTGTTCAAATCATGACCCCCGGGGGTAGGGCGGGGCCACAATGGAGGATCAAAGTTTTACATAGAAATATATAGGAAAAATCTTTAAAAATCTTCTTCTCAAGAACAGCAAAGCCCTAATTGGTCATATTTATATGAAAGCATCCTCAGGTAGTGTAGATTCAAGTTTGTTCAAATCATGACACCCGGGGGTAGGGCGGGGCCACAATTGAGGATCAAAGTTTTACATAGAAATAAATAGGAAAAACCTTTAAAAATCTTCTTCTCAAGAACAGCAAAGCCATGATGAGTCATATTTATATGGAAGCATCCTCAAGTAGTGAAGATTCAAGTTTGTTCAAATCATGACCCCCGAGGGTAGGGCAGGGCCACAATGGAGGATCAAAGTTTTACATAGAAATGTATAGGAAAAATCTTTAAAAAATCTTCTTCTCAAGAACAGCAAAGCCCTGATTAGTCATATTTATATGGAAGCATCCTCAGGTAGTAAAAATTCAAATTTGTTCAAATCATGACCCCCGAGGGTAGGGCGGGGCCACAATGGAGGATCAAAGTTTTACATAGAAATATATAGGAAAAATCTTTAAAAAATCTTCTTCTCAGGAACAGCAAAGCCTTGATTGGTCATATTTATGTGGAAGCATCCTCAGGTTGTAAAAATTCAAATTTGTTCAAATCATGACCCCTTGGTGTAGGGCGGGGCCACAATGGAGGATCAAAGTTTTACATAGAAATATATAGGAAAAATTTTAAAAATCTTCTTCTCAGGAACAGCAAAGCCCTGATTGATCATATTTATTTGGAAGTATCTTCAGGTTGTGTAAATTCAAGATTGTTCAAATCATGACCCCCTGGGGTAGGGCGGGGCCACAATGGAGGATCAAAGTCTTAAATAGAAATATATAGGTAAATATCTTCTGATGAAGAACTGTAAAGCCATGATTAGTCATTTTGATATGGAAGCATCCTCAGGTAGTGTAAATTCAAGTTTGTTAAAATGATGACCCCCCGGGGATAGGGATGGGCCACAATGGGGGGTCGAAAATTTTACATAGGAACATATAGGAAAATATCCTCTTCTCAAGAACTGAAAATCATGTTTAGTCATTTTGATATGGAAGCATCCTCAGATAGTGTAAATTCAAATTCGTTCAAATGATGACCCCTGGGGTAGGGTGGGGCCCAATGGGGGATTGAAAGTTTTACATAAGAACATGCAGAAAAAATATTTCTTCTCAAGAACAGAAAAGCTATGTTTAGTCATATTGAAATGGAAGCATCCTCAGGTAGTGTAGATTCAAATTTTCAAATATTGACCTCTGGGATAGGGAGGAGCCACAATGGGGGATCAAATTTTTACAAAGGATTATATGGGAAAAATTTTTCAAAATTTACTCAAGTACAACAAAGCCATTTGTTATATTGACATGGAAGCATCATCAGGTATCCCCCCCCCTCCCCCCCCCCCCCCCCCCCCCCCCGGTAACCCTTTCAATACTGAACTGATTTGTGCTTTTGTGCTTTTGCCTAGCCAATGTGCTCAGGTGAGCGATGTGGCCCATGGGCCTCTTGTTTATATTTCAGATTACATTCCTCTGTGTACAATTGAATTTAAAATGTATATCTTGTTTTTGTTTTCCTTTTAATATAGTTAATATAGTGCTAATACCAAAATTATTAGTGTTTTGAAGAGGAAATTCATTGACTTTTTTTAAAGTCAACTTTGGATGTACATTTAGCTATAATTTATTAGCTCACCTGAGCTGAAAGCTCAAGTGAGCTTTTCTGATCACATTTTGTCTGTAGTCCGTCTGTCCGTCTGTCTGTAAACTTTTCACATTTTCGACTTCTTCTCAAGAACCACTGGGCCAATTTTAAGCAAACTTGCCACAAATCATCCTTGGGTGAAGGGGATTCAAGTTTGTTCAAATGAAGGGCCACGCCCTCTTTCAAGGGGAGATAATTAAGAATTAGTGAAAAATGAATAGCATCTTTTAAAAATCTTCTTCTCAAGAACCACATGACCAGGAAAGATGAAACTCATATGGAAGCATCCCCAGGTAGTGTAGATTCAAGTTTGCTCAAATCATGACCCCTGGGGGTAGGGCGGGGCCACAATGGAGGATCAAATTTTTACATAGAAATATATAAGAAAAATCTTTAAAAATCTTCTTCTCAAGAACAGTAAAGCCATGATGAGTCATATTTAAATGGAAGCATCCCCAGGTAGTGTAGATTTAAATTTGTTCAAATCATGACCCCCGGGGTTAGGGCGTGGCCACAATGGAGGATCAAAGTTTTACATAGAAATATATAGGAAAAATCTTTAAAAATCTTCTTCTCAAGAACAGTAAAGCCATGATGAGTCATATTTAAATGGAAGCATCCCCAGGTAGTGTAGATTCAAGTTTGTTCAAATCATGACCCCCGGGGTTAGGGCATGGCCACAATGGAGGATCAAAGTTTTACATAGAAATACATAGGAAGAATCTTTAAAAATCTTCTTTTCAAGAACAGTAAAGCCATGAAGAGTCATACTTATATGGAAGCATCTTCAGGTAGTGTAGATTCAAGTTTGTTCAAATCATGACCCCTGGGGGTAGGGCGGGGCCACAATGGAGGATCAAAGTTTTACATAGAAATATATAGGAAAAATCTTCTTCTCAAGAACAGCAAAGCCATTATGAGTCAAATTTATATGGAAGCATCCTCAGGTAGTGTAGATTCAATTTTGATCAAATGATGACCCCCCGGGGTAGAGTGGGGCCCAATGGCGGATCGAAAGTTTTACATAAGAACATATAGAAAAAAAAATTCTTCTCAAGAACAGAAAAGCTATGTTAGTCTTATTGATATGGAAGCATCCTCAGGTAATGTAGATTCAAGTTTGTTCAAATGATGACCCCTGAGATAGGGAGGAGCTACAATGGGGGATCAAATTTTTACAAAGAAATAAATGGGAAAATTCTTTTAAAATCTTCTCAAGTACAACAAATTCATTTGTTATATTGACATGGAAGCATCATCAGGTAGTTTAAAATTCAATCCCCCCCCCCCCCCCCCCCCATTCATTACTGAACTGATTTGTGCCTTAGTCTAGCCAATGTGCTCAGGTGATCGATGTGGCCCATGGGCCTCTTGTTTGAAGATAAAGTCCAGGGGCCTCTTTTACCAAAGAACAAACGACTAAGATCAAAAACTTTAGTTGATTGTAAAATCTTACAAAACTAATATTCTTGTTAAAAATTTCTTGCTTAAAAATATCTAGTTATTTAAGTCATTTGCATAATAACATTTTGGTCTTGGTCATAAGTTCTTTTGTAAAATATGGACCTTAATTATCCATACTTTTGATTATTTCAGTCGTTTATGCAGTTGTCCCTTTATTATTGAGAAGAAATCCCTTATATTTATTTTATTGTTGTGTTTACCGGTAATAGCTTTGTGATATTGTTTACAGAATACATAATACTTTTTTAAAATTATTTTACTGTCTTACTATGAATTACTTATTAAATGACTGTTTTATGACAAGGTATTTTGAAATTGCAGATCTATCATTTAATTTGAATAATCAGACATTTGTTGGAAACTCATGTTTAATTGTGCTGTAATTCCTCTACTCTTCAGCCATGAGTCAGTTGGTACGTATTTCTACATTAATTTCTAAGTATTAATTCACCTAAGTATGCAGACAAATCCAAGTAGCACAACATAGGTTTGAACTCTTTTGTTTTGGAGGTAATTACTGTATCCCTGATGTTAATTACAAATAGGTCACAAACATCATTAAATAAATATACATATATCTTCTTTCTTACAATTTTGTAAACAGTTTACTCAAAATCTCTTTTTTGAAACTTCATCTTATAGACATTTACATGTATTTTAAGTTTTATTTAAGTTTGGATGCTAGATTTTACAATATTTATTTTTCTTAGGCAGAAATACTATGAAAGAGACCTTCAGAATGACCAAATTTTAGACTTTTGTGGAGTGATAAGATTAATCTTGATATATAACATTAATGAGAACCAGGAAATAATAAGTATAAATTGTCTCATGGGTAAAGTGGATGGGAATACAGCTTAATCAGCCAAGGGTTTCTGATTACTCATAATAATGATAGTAAGAGTTTTAAGGTTTACCATCCTTTTGTTCAGTGACATAAAATTTTGCTTTAATGCTAATGTTCCTCCACATGAAATCTAATTTATAATTAAAATGCACACAATATTAGCATACCAGCAAAATTTGACAGAAATAGACTTTTAACTTGACAAGTTTATATAAAGGAATAACAGTCATTTACCACATTGATAGTTGTCTCCCTTATCAGAGGTTCAGTGAACCTTAATTATGAATATTTACCATTAATTTTGTGATTGGATTCTTATTAATCAGGCTGTCTTGTCTTTTCTGCATTTCTATTTATAGTGTATTTAGTGATCTCCATTGATGAATCTCATACATGTAGGTTGTATGTAAGTTGTAT